AGCCCGGCCCGCGGGGAGCGGCCTGCGCGGGCGCGCCCCGTCTGAGCACCGCACCTCGTTCACAGCGATTCTGGCACTCTGGGCAATTTCTTCAAAGGTGAGTTGCCTGTGATTGGCAGGTCGCGTGAACGTCATCTGGGAACAAAAGATCGCTCATACACGCGCTCTTCCGCAGGCCCGTCAGGGGACGAGCGGCAGTGGCTGTCCGAGGACGCAGCTGGTCCTGCAGCCCCCGCAGGGCTCGGGGCACACGTCCAGTTGGGGACAAGCCCTCCCTCTGGCCGTGAGCAGGCGGGAGGCGCTTCCTGCCGCTGGGGGACCGGGGGCAGGCACCCCAGCCAGTGCGGCTGTCGCCGTCCCTCAGGCGGCCGGCGGGGGGCGGGCTCAGCCAGAGGGCGGGGCCCCTCTCTGCTGTCCCGAGGCCCAGACAGCAGGGAGGCGGGGCGGGGCTGGGGCCAAATCGCAGCGCAGTTTCGGGGCACGGGCTCACCTCCATGAGGCACAAGAGCTGGATCTTCCGCAGAAGCTGGGCTTCGTTGGCTGCCAGGTCAGGCTGCGAAGTGAGCGACAGCCATCATCTAACCTGGGCTGAGTCTCCCACAGACAGAGCCCAGGAGCCCCCGCCGCCCGCCCGCTGACCTGCTGCCCCCAGGCGCTCTTCAGCGTCTGGAACTTCTCCACGTTGCCGCTGTTGAAGGCGTACAGGGTGTCGATCAGCCACTGCCGGTCGGTGCCCCGCAGCGACTCCAGCACAGGGTGCATGAGCTGCAAGGACAGAGGGTTGGCGGCCGAAACAGCCCCCCCCAGCCCCCCCCGGACGCCGCCCAAGTCCACTCACGAGCTCCCCGAAGTTGAACACGCCCTCGCCGAGAAGCCCCGCCAGTCCCAGCGTGAACGCGCGTTCCTGCTGCTCCGACACTAGGTGGAGGACACCCAGTCACGGCCCGTCGCGAGGAGCGGGGCCTGCGGCTCCCCACACCCCCGCGCCCAAGCAGAAACCGCCCCGGGCAACGGCTCTGCTGCAGAGGCCTCACAGAGAGCCGCCCCCAGGCTGGGGGCACCGTGGGCGTCGCGCGGGGGACCCCAACCGGTGGCGGCTGCCCTTCTGGCCCACGTCCTGTGGGCCGGTCCGCAGCCCCGGGAGACTGGCCCTGCCCTGCTTCCTGGTCACAAAGCAAGGAAGGCCCTTCCTCTCCTGACCACTCGGCTCTTTCCCAATACACTCTGAACAACGCACCAACGGCGAGCGCTTCTGGGCGCAGCTGCCACCCCTCCTGGGGTACCGGGCTGTTTCTCTTCTAAACGCATCCCTGTGCTTCCCCGCAAGCTCGTCGGTCACTTTCCTTTCCACCCTCCACCGTTCAATCGTGACTCGGTTCCACAGGGCGGCTGCTCCAGTTTTTGGGACGGGAGTCTCAGGTTGGGGCTCAGAGCACCCCCATCCTCTGGCTGTGCCTCCTACAGAGCCGCCCTAGAGGCAGCAGGAGCTGACCGTACTTTCACCGAACCAGATGCCGAGGAGCCGCCACCCAGACAGCCCCACTGCCTCGGCGTGGGGAGGATGGCGACACGGGGCCACGCCATTACCCGGCAGGTCCCTGATGTCCACGCAGCCCAGAAAGCGCAGCGCGTCCTTGTAGTAGGCGGCGTGGTTCCCGATGGTCTGGTAGTATTTACTGGACAGGTCGTAGAAACGGCTGTGGACCGACGTCACCCCAGGGAGGGCGCCGAGCATGTCCTCCACCTCCTCGATGGTTTCCTGCGGAGGGAGCACGGCTGGCTTCCTTCTTGATTTAAAACATGACGCTGCGAAGACTGGAAACGTGACTCCAGCTCTCCACAGGCACAGAGAAAGGAAGGACCCAGCCCGGAGTGGAGGGCAGCGTGGCCAGCGGCACAAAGCGCCCTGCCAGTCGCCGCGGGCGAGGAGCAGAAAGTCAAGGGAAGGGCAGTGTGGCCGCACGGGGGCGGGGGTGTGGCGAGAGCGAGCGAGGGCGGGCCGGCCCGCCGGAAGGCGCGCCCTGCGCCGTGGCCACGGCTGGCGAGACTCCACTGGGCCGCCTGGGGCTTGGGCACCGGCCTTGGCGCCGGAGGGGTCGCGGGCAGACACATTCTGCAAGGTCAGGGGAGGCGGAGCGCGCGTCTCACCCTGCAGCCTCCCCTGTCCAGTCATGCAGGCACAGAAACATTACTGAAGAAGCTGAACCCCTTCAGCGAGGACCAGACACACAGGCTGTGGAACGCTCCCCCGGTGAAGACTCACGGGTCACTGGCACCAGGCGTGCAGGCGCCAGCCCATCGTCCAGCCAACTGGCTGAAGCCGCTGGCCATTCCCCGTCCTCCAGGAGGCCCCCCGCAAAGCAAAGGGCCAAGGAACACGAGGGGCAGAGGGAGGCAGCGCAGCCCCGGGGGGGCGGGCTCACGGCGGGGCCTGTGGCCATCACAGCACCGCTTAGAGCGCCCCCAGCTGCACCTTAAATGCCTCAGAACAAAACACAGAAGGGGCGCGTGTGGGCAGGACAGGGAGCGGCCAGCAACGACGGGTGTCTGTCTAGGGCGAGGGTGAGACACCCGAGCGTTCTCTGCAACACCCTGGCCACCGAACAAAGCAAACACCAGTCTCGGGTCACAGAGACCAAGCCTCAGCCTCCAAGCCACACCAGGCCGAGCAGATGGCAGGAAGGGGGCCGGGGTGGGGGCCGTGTTTAGGGGGAAAACGGGGGACAGTCATCCCTTCAACTCGCTTCTCACTTTCCCATAGGCCAAGAAAATCTCTCTCTCTCACACACACTTGTGCAAAGGGGCAAAACTGTTACTTCTGCAACTTCTCTATAATTTAAACGTGAAGAAAATTGTTTAACAAAACAAAAGGAAAGAGAGACCCCAGCTTCGAACAGGCGGGCACCTTCGTGACTTGCAGGTCGCCAATGTTCAGCTTGAGGGCGCCGATCGCGGTCTTGCACAGGATCACGGCCTCGTCGCTGCTCTTCACCTGGAAGGACAAGTGGCCCTGGGACGAGGGGCGGAGGCCGACGGGCTTCTGGGCGGGGCGCGCGCGCCGGCCGGCAAAGGGCTGACTCGGGCTTCCCGCTTACCTTCTCACGCGTTTTCTCCAGAAAACTGAGAGCCACACTAGGGTCTAGGGGAAAAAGGGCAAAGTCGGAGGAAGCAAGTGGGATCTCTGTACAGTGTACCCCCCCCCACAGATGCTTTCAGACGGGCCAGTCTTTAGGGTCAGAATACAAAGTCCAGTAGAAGCACAGCTTAGAACCTGTCACTTCCTACTGACAGGCGACAGTTCAAATAGATTCGCTCCTTTCCGAACCAGAGGGGGACTCACCGGTCATCTGCCTGACGACATGAAGGGTGATTTCCACCAGGGACAAGGGGTTCACCCTGAAAGACAAACCACCAGTCTCTGAGGGCTGGCAAGTGTCACATGTGCTAGGCCAAAGTGAACCCCAGGCCTCTGTGGGGGTGCAGAGGGTAAGTGTCAGCTACGAAGCCGCGGCAGCCACTGCAGGGGGGGCCCCAGGGCGCAGCAGACCCCTCCTGTCTCCTCCCTGCTCCCCCCAGCAATGTGTCTCGGTGGACCCACCTGTCCTGCTCCCCACTCTGTCTCGGGGGGGGGGATCACCTCACCCCCAATACCTCTGGCCTGCACCCCAGATCTTGTAGGCGTAAGTAAATAAATCATTAAAAAACAAAACAAAAAAACAAAACGCACTAAAAAGAACTTTACCTGTGTTCAAACTCACTGATGAAGTTTTCATAAAGCTGTGGAACCAGAACACGGAGTCGTCAGAGGGCATCTTTCATGCTGCAAAGCCAGCACCCTCAACCCTCCCACAGCCTGTCACACAGTGGGCACCAACAGTGGCTGCTGGGCCACGAGAGGCCACATTTGGGACTACACACAAACGGCACCAGCGGGTCCTGAAGACAGCCAGGGCCCTTTCTCTGGCTTCGGGCGCCAGAACCCTGTTCCACGACGATCTGCTGAGGACACCTTTCTGTGCTCCTCCCCCAAAGCGCTTCGAGGAAAGCAGGCTCGGTCTGGGGAGTTGGCTGGCCCGGCAGACTCGCCTAGTCTGCCTTTAGTCCCCGGTTTCGCAGGCTGAGGCCAGTCACATCCGTCTCCACGCTCCTCCCTGGTCAGCCCTTACTCCAGGCGCGTCAGACAGATGTGGAGGGTGAGACGGCGCCTGGTCCCGTGAGGCGCTTCCGGCCCTCGCAGAGGGCCAGACTTGCCGACGCGCACGTGAGGGCGCGAGGGAAGGGCGAGGGAGAGAAAGCACACGGGCGGAGCAGACGGGGCAGCCCGCGGTGAAGAGCGGCCGCCCAGACAGCAGCAAACAGACGCACATGCCTGGCGGTGTCTCTGCGGGGCAGAGCGGCAGCAACAGGGCTCGGTCTCCGCCCGGCAGTGGGGCGAGCCAGCGCAGCGCGTGACCGCGCTTCTATTTTAGACTCAGGCCTGTCGGCAGAGGGCAGCAAGGGACGAGGCCAAAGCCACTGGCGGCCGAGAGAGCGTGGGGGGGGGCGACTGGCCCCGACTCACGAGCGGGGCTGGCCACAGGCGACAGGGCACTGAGGTCCGCTCGGGGTAGGGCGAGTCTGAGGTTCCTCAGCGGTACAGAGGTGGGAGCACTTCTGCGCAAGGGCACGTGCCGCACCCAGGTCGCGGGTCACGTAACGTGGCTTTGCGGTCACCAGCTGACCCCACAAGGGAGTGGCCCAGCAGGCCGGCCCAGGTCTGTGACTGCACGCCACAGCATCGGTGCCGTGATGAGAAATCAACCGACGCCGAGCTCCTCTGAGCGCAGAGACACGGCTGCAAGGCAGGACGGAGCAGGCCTGCGCCACGAAAACGCAAAGGCTGCAGGGACAGCGAGCCAGGGCCCCCAGGACCTGCCGTCTGCAGAGACTTGCTCAGTGACCCAGCTCACACGCAGCCCAGACTGGGCTGCCCGGCAAGGGGACAAGGGGCGGGCGAAGGGTGCAGGCGAGCTCAGACAGCGCCGGGCCTCTCGCACAGCACGGTGACCGCCTAACAGCAACGCCTGGTGCCCTTGGAAGCTGCTGGGCAGAGAGGTCTTGAAAGTTCTCTTCAAAGGAAAAATTTGTGACTGTGTGATGACACACCCTGGCTGAACCTGCGGCGGTCACCTCTCACGCAGACACACCCAGTCACAGCGCGCACTGTGCGCTTAAGTGACACGTCCTCTGTCAATGTCACACGAGGGGGAAAACCTCAGCGGCAGCCAGTTCAGATATCTGTAGCTGGCACTTGTCCAAGAGCCTTTCAGTAAAGTGTTTTTCCAAACCCAGAGAACTGTTTTAAAGGAATCTTTCTTGTTAAGTGGTGAGGTCTCAGCTCCTCTGGTATCCACGGTGATGTACGGAACTACCGGGAAGAAGCCTGCAAGTCCAACCCTCAGAGACACTTCTGGTGACTGTGGATTCACGAGCACTCGCTGCCTTGGCCACAGGAACAGCAGACTTGACCTGACAACCCAAGTGTCACCGTACCCCTGAAGGTTGAGGAACTATCCTGCACATGCAGAAAGTGAGTTCAAGTGAAAAAAAGGAGAGGGAGCAATCGGTACACGTCAGCTGCCACTATGCTCGGCAACCGTAGGGACACACACTACAATGTCTCAGGGCCCTCCCTGGCGGCGCCACAGGTCAAAGCGCAACACTAGGAAGCTGTCCGCGGCCGCTTCAGCACGAGCTCAATCCCCAAGCGGGGAGGTGACCCACAGGGAGCAGCAGACCTCCCCTGTCTTGCCCGCTGCCCCCTCAGCAGTGGACTTCGCCCATCTGCCTGTTCTGCTCCCTACTCATCTCTGGGGAATCCTCTCATCCCCTGCACCTCTGGCCTGTACCCCAGTTCTGTGTGCATAAATCAATCCATCTAAAGAAAAATGTCTAGTTTACTGTTTGCCCACAGAATCCAAAAAAGAATGCCCAGCAAAACCTACAGGTTTACAGATTATTACAAGTTCTTTGACTAGTAAAATGCCAACGTGAGGAATAAACCACAAGAGAACCTTGGGAGTGCACAGGGCAGAGCAGGGAGTGACCAGCCCCGCTGTGAGCACAGGCCAGTGGAGACGTCAGGCCGGATCCAGTCAGGAACCAAAAGCAAGGCGTCAGAGCATGTGCTGCCAGGGAGACCTAAGAGCACTCACCAGGGCTCCTCCGAGTGTGGGGAAAGCCAGCCGGGGCTTCCAGAATTCCGGAAGTGCTCACGGCAGCGGCCCCACCCCAAGCGCGGCACAGAAGGACCCAGAACACAGCACTCGGGCGGGCGGGGGAGTCCCGGCAGTATCTGAAAGACGCTACCCGCTCCCTCACCCTCGGCTCCGAACTTTCAACTTCCGAGCAGTCCCCCCAAAGTGCAGCCCTGAAAACGTAAGCAGCCTAGGAACAGTGAAGCCGCAGGCACAGACCATCACATGGCGTGTCAGGCGTGAGCTCCGCAAGCAGAGCCCCTGCCGCGGAATGCTCCCTGTGGCTTCCTGGCTGTCACCTGGGCAAGCCGCTCCCTCAGCGTGTTGCAGCAGACACGGGGACAGCAGGGCGAGGCATGGAAACGCGGCCGGTAGCTGGCTCGGAGGGCGCCTAGCATCTAAGTCCTCTCACGCGCTCTGCCCGGGCCGCAGTCGCTTACCGTGATGAGACCGTCTCCTTGCGCAAAGCAGGGGTCCTGCACAAAATCAAGCACCTGCAGAGTCAGCTGATGCCACAGCCTGAAAGACACAAGTCCCTTGAGAGCCACGAACAGCTGTGCAGTCAGAGAGCCCGTGGGTCTATCGGACCGACGCCCGGCCCACCCTGCTGTGCCAGGAAGGCGCCCCAGGCTGCATGCCCCCGGCTCCTCAGGCGGTTCTGTGAACCCGAGTTCCCCAGCTCCTCTCACTCTGCTATAAACGGGGAACATTCTCCTGGACCCCTCCGGGGCTTGGCTGGAGCCGCACTTGATCTGAGCGGAAACCCTGGCGGCTGGCTCGCTCCTGAGTGCCACAGGGAAGGGCCGCAGCGGAGCTTCCTGCGCTGTGATGAAAGCAGCCAGCACACCCGAACATCGGGCCGCGGCACAGCCCGCGTGAAGTGAGAAGCCAGAAGCTTTACGAATGCCAAAGCTTAAGAAACAGCCGTGCCCGCGGAAGCCCTGATTTGCAAACACTACGACTTTTCCTTCACAAGTCTCGCTAGCGGCAGGTCGCACAACTCTTCGAGACGTGCTGCGGGT